TCATTGTCTCGCTTTTGCATAGCATTGAAAATACCTGGCTCAGGCACACATTAGTTCTCGTGACAACTTTGCTCCGTAACACTTTACAGAGGTGTGATTTGTTTTTGTTTTGTTTTGCAGCACTCTTGCCCAGTGCAGGAGCCCAGGTGGCATAGTATTTATGTGTTAGGCTGTTAACTGCAAGGTCAGCAGCTCCTCTGGAGAAAGATGGCCTTCTCTGCTCCCATAAAGAGTGACAGTCTCAGAAATTCACAGGGGCAGTTCTACTCTGTCCTATGGGGTTGCTATGAGTTGGCATCAAATTAATGGCAGTGAGCTTTATTTTTTAGTTTATGTTATTTGGTTTCTTTACTGCTGCTTCCAAGCTGAATGTAGGTCCAAGGGAAATTAAATCCCTGGCAAATTCAGTCTTTTTTACCACTTATTGTGATGTTGTTTATCAGTGTAGTTGTAAGCAATTTTGTTGTCTTTGTGCTGAGGTAGGATTCATATTGAAGGTTATGGTCTTTGATCTCCCTCAGTAAATGCTTCTGGTCTTCAGTTTTAGGAGGCAGAGATGTGTTATCTGCAGATCACATACAGTTGACCAGTATTCCTCCATCTTAATGCTGTGTTATTCTTCATATAATCCAGTTATTTGAAATCTTTTCTCCACACAAGATCGAATAAATGCGATGAAAGGCAACAACCTTGACACACACCTTTCCCAATTTTAATGCCAGTAAAGCCTACCTTTTGGTTTATGTTCCATATGTGTGCAGTTGAGTGTTCTAGAATTCCCATTCTTTGCAACATTATCCTTAATTTGTTATGACGCCCCACAGTCAAATATCTTTGCATAGTCAATAAAACACAAGTAAACATCATTTTGCTATCACCCAGGATCCCAGTGACAGTAATATGCCCTCATCACATGCCCTCTTCTGACTCAGGATTAAATTTCTGGAAGCTCCATTGATGTACCCCTTTAATGTTTGTTGAATTATCTTCAGAAAAAATCTACTTGCATGTGATGTTAATGATAATGTTAGAAAATTCTCACATTATTTTGGGTCACCTCTTTGGAATGGGAACAAATATGGATCTCTGCCCGTGGGTTGGCCAGAGAATTGTCTTCCAAACTTCTTGGCATAGACGAGTGCTTCCAGCATTGGATCAGTGTGTTGGAACATTCCCATCAGTATTCTCTCAATTCTTGGAGCTGTGTATTTTGCCAGTGCCTTTGAAGCAGCTGAGATTTCTTCTTTCCGTGCCCTCAGGTGTAGATCTTAAAGTAGTTGAACAAAACCCAATGATTTTTGGTACCTAAAACCAAATACCCTGCTGTTGAGTTGTTTCCAACTCACAGTGGCCCTACAGGACAGGACAGAACTGCCCCTGTGGGCTTCCAAGACTGTAACTCATTACAGATATAGAAAGCCTCACTCTTCTTCCTTTTGTCTTCTTTTGATGTTTCCTGAATAATTTTATTTTGCCCATAGAATTCTTCAATGGTGCAACCCAAGGCTTGGTTTTTTTCTTCACTTCTTTCAACTTGACAAATGCTGAACATATTCTTCCCTTTGGATTTTCTAAATCTAACTCTTCACACTTTTCACAATCACACTTTCTCTTTTGGAGTTGCCCTTTGAAATTTCCTGTTCAGCTCTGTTTACTTCATCATCTCTTCATTTCAGCGTCTTTACGCTCAAGTTTCAGAGTATCCTCTAGCATCCACTTTTGTCTCTTATTTCTGTCCTATGTTTTGGTGCCTCTTTTCTTTCCTCAAGCATGATATTCTTGATAACATCCCACAGCTCATCTGATCTTTGGCCATTAGTGTCGAATGCATCAAGCCTGCCTTTGAAATAGCTCTTAAATCAAGCAGGATATGTTCTAGGTTGTATTTTGGTTCTCTTGAACATATTTTAATTTTTTTCAGTTTACACCTGATGAACTTGTATATAAACAATTGATGGTCTGTTTCCTTCAACTCTTGGATTGGGAAAATATGAGTATTTGCAAGAATATTAGGCTCCTACCTTATTTATTTATTTCCTTCTCTTGTTGTTTTATTCTATAATTATAGCCACCGATTTTGTGCTCAAAGCAGTCTTACTGGTTAATGTGCATTGCTGTCAACTGAAAGATTCACAGTTCAAGTCCACCCAGAGATACCTCAGAAAAAGTCTCATGACTGACTTCTGAACATTCAGCCATTGAAAATCTTAGGAAGCACTGTTCTACTCTGTATACATGGAGTTAAAATCAATTCAACAGCTGCTGGATATTTTTTTTTTACTACATACTGGACTCTGTTATGCTAAGCCTCATGGAGAGAAAGGTGAAAGATGTAAACTCTCCATTCAAGAGAAATGTACTTGTCTAACCAATTGAGGATGAGAGGCAAGCCATAAAAGACAAGAAGCCAAAAGGGGCTTTCTTAGTTCCATTTTCACCTTTTATACAGGAAACGTGTTCAATTCCAGCTGTTACACCTCAAACACAGCCAGCTCCTGCCTGCTAGTGTAGACTTGCATGTTGCTATGATGGTGAACACGTTTAAGTGAACCTTCCAGACTGAGACACACTAGGAAGAAGGCTCAGTTGATCTACTTCCAAAAATCAAACAGTGTAATCTGTCATTACCATCGTCTGATCCACGACCCATAATGTAGCTGACACAGGACTGGGCAGCATTTTCATCTACTGGGTGTGGAGTCACTATGAGTTGGGGCCCAGCTCGCAGTACTGACAACAACACAGAGTTGAAACACTAGCTCTTCACTTGGTAGTGCAAAAGAGGGTGATCAAATCTTTACAAAGTCCGGAGGAGGGGTGCCAAGGAAGAGAGATGTTATGTGACCCAGAACTTGCTATTTTCCACTGATAAGGGCACTACGTTAGCTGGCTGGTTTACATACTAAATATTAGCAATGTGCATTAAAAATGTTGTAATTCTTTTCTTATCCAAACTAAATTGTCTCATGAAACATCCTAGATGATCGCATAGAAGTGTTTATATTTGTAATAAATTCACATAACATGGGTTTTGAAAATAAGAAACAGATCCAGTAGCTTAAAATTATATCCTAGATGAGCATTAAACTCCTTTATTAATATAATTGAGTACGTGCAATGCTAGGATTGATTCTTTGTTTCTTAGGTGTCTGTTGTCTATTGAAAGTTGTTTATTTTATGTTGTTGTTATTCGATGCCTTCAAATCAATTCTGACCCACAGCACCCTTATGCACAAGATGAGCTTGGAAAATAAGGTCTTAGATTCTAACATTTTCATCGAACCTTTCTTTGACTAAGGAATTTTGCTTCTCATATATTTAACTAAATATGATGGACTTTAAGTGTTGCTAAATTTGCAGGAAAGGTTCACTTTAAGTTCACATATTAGCATTAGATATTGTTCTACAGTGAAGCCTGATTTTGCCTTTCTGCCCCTTAGACACGTGGCCAGAGACGATTCCTAACTATAGGATTTTACCCTCATCAGGTTTCCATATGTGCTTTGTTGTTTGCATTTGATTGAAAGCATTTGCCCTGTGAGTTTATTGCTACTTCCTGCCTCTCTTTGACCCTGCTGAACTTGGGACAACTTCCTTCTTTTGAGGAGGCCTGGGTGGCATATAGTGTTGGGCTGTGCTCCACAAAGTCAGCTGCTCCTCAGGGGGCATATGGGGCTTTCTCCTGTAAACAGTTATAGTCTCAGAAACTCACAGGGACAGTATGGCAGTGAATTTGTTTGGGTTTTTTTTGTGGGGGTGGGAAGAAGTATTCTTTCTTTTTAGCTCCTGTTGCTGATTGCTTCTGCAGTTCCCGTCTTTTCTATTCCCCTGTTCAAAGCCGTGATTCTCCAGGGTCCAGTCTTCCTCATTTATCTGCCCACACCACTTGCTTTCTCGCAGTTGCCTCACCCATTGGCGCAGTCAGCCCTCACCTCTGTTCAGTATTTTCTGAGTTCGGCTTGTGCCCTCGCTACATGGGCTCCTGAGTTCTTTGCACAAGTTAGCAGGGCTTCTGCCTCAGGATATTTATAAGGGCTGATTTCTCTGCCTTGAATATTTGACCACTTGAGTGGGTAAGACTACTTGTTCCCTCACTGCCTTCAGGAATTTGCTGAATGTTACCATCCCCTGGGGACGTGCTGAGATAGTATTCCCTGTATTTGTTATTTTTATATTTCTCCTTTGGAATATCAATTTCATGAGTTCCAAAGTTTGTGTCTTAACCCCCAGAGCTTTCAACAAGTACTTGGTTCCTAGAGAGTGATTAGTAAGTACTTATTGCAGGAATGAATGAATGCAGCATGGGAGAGTTATAAAGCAGGAGAAGAGGACTGTGGTACTCAAGAACTCTGCTCAGTCAAGAGCTCTGCTCCCAACCACGTTTGTGTTTGTGCCAGGCCAGTCTCTCGGGGGCCTCTGTTTCCTGTTCTGTCAAATGGCAGGTAAATACCAGCTCAGTTCTAAAGCACAACCAACCCCACTGTGCTGAATTGATTCTACTCAGCAATCATGTAGGATGGGATAGAATTGCTGCACAGAGTTTCCGAGACTGTCAGTCCTTACAGGAGGATGCAGCCTCATCTTCTTCCCGTGTAGCAGCTGGTGAATTTGAACCACTGGCTTTGCACATCACAACTCGATGTTAATGTGCTTTCCATAGAGTTGCTCTCTTTGGCTAAATATGTCCCATAAACACAAACAGTAGTTGAGATGAACAAAACACTTGCTTCTAAATGACGTATGAAGACACATTTATTTGGGTTTGCTTACATGTTTGCTGTTTATTTTTTTAAGTTTTTTTTGGCCAGTTTTTAAAAGTACAATGGGGCTTCCAATAATATGTGGAGAATGGAATTAAAAGAAAATAGAATTTTCCCACAAACTCTTTGGAAGCCCCCTTGAACGGCTGTTGTCTGATGCTAACCATATTGAATAGCCTGTCTACTTTTCCGCATAAAAAAGGAATAACTTGTTTGTTTGTCATTTCTCTCTATCTTTAGGTATTTCCTGCTACACAGAGTACTGTACGGAAGGAAGCTTCCCTGTCACATCTGTCTGCCATCCGCACAACTCATTTCCCTTCCAAGTAAGTATGGCGCTTTGTTTCCTCTGAGCCCTTGCGAGCAGAAGGTATTGATTCTCCCAGAAAACCTGGCATCGTGATGACAGTAAGACCAACAGGCCACGGTTTCCAACAGTTTGTTATCGGGTGTGGGCACTGACTTTTCCAAAGGTTTTCAGGGTGTGCCTTCCCCATACCTGCTGACAGATAGTGTATGAAACACCAGCTTATCTTGACTTGCAATCCCATGGGCCTCTGAAGGTGACTATTATGTACTTGGATTGCCTAGGTAATGTAAATAGTGAACACGCTTAGCCTTTAACTGAAAGGTTGGTGGTTCCAGAGCTCTGCTGGAAGAAAAGCTTGGTGATTTAGTGCTAATGAATCAGCCGTAGAAAATCCTATCGGGCACAGTTTTACTCTGACACGCGGGGGGAGCTGTCATCTTGGTGGCAGCTGGATCACAGACTTTAAAACAATGAAAGTCCTTCCACTTAAACAAGAAGGACTCTAAAGAGTGAAGGTTAAAGATTGAAATGATGTTCTCCTATGGGCATGGTCAGTGGCAAGGGCATCAGGAGAGGCTGTGGTCTCATTACCCTGCAGAGGGTAGCACCTACATTGCACACACACACCCAGAGGCTGTGATATGGAAGAAACATGAGTATTATAGGAAGGCCAACTTTGGGGGTGCTTTGTTGCAAAGGTCTACTGTGCTGCATGTATGTGCCTGCCTGCACATCCTCTCTGGCCCCCACTCCCTGATGGAGATAAATAGCTGATGGAAAGTCCCTTTCCAGTGGAAAGAGGTGTCTTTCTAAGGGAGCCCTGGTGGCACTGTAGGTTAAGTGTTGGACGTTAACAACAGGTAACTAATTCAAACCCACCAGCCGATACATGAGAGAAAGATGAGGCTATCTGTTCCCAAACAGACTTTTTTTTTTTTTTTTTACAGTTCTGGAAACCCTGTATAGGGTGTCTGTAAGTAAAAAGTGACTTAATGGCAGTGGATTTGGCCTTATAGCTAGACCCGTTTTTCCATGAAGAAACTGAAGAAGTGATCCTGGGACTGATATGCCCCCACCCCTCTTCAAGGGACTGGGACATCACATTGCAGAACGAGTGCTTAGGGAATTAACCCTGCCCTCCCACAAATTGAGGGACATTGGTTGTTAACACTATCCTTCCACAAGTCAGGAACAATGGAAGAATGTCTACTTTCCACGTTAAGTTTGATTCCTGGTCAATGCACTGTATGGACAGTTACTACTTGTCCCTCATTGAAGACTTTTGTATTATTGTAATGCTTGAATAGGCTTCAACACAATGTCCAGATGAAGATAAACGAGAAAGAAAGGACTGGTGATAGAATTCAAAAAATTGACCTATGGAAACCCTATGGATCATACTGTCTACAACAAATCATGAGAACGGTACCAGATTAGGCCCTGTTTCCTTCGCAGTACATGGGTTCACCATGTGTCAAGACCAAGCCACACCAGCTGACAACCACAACACTAATATTGTGGAGTGGTAAAGAGCGCCCCCTGGAAGATTACATGTCCTTATCCTCAGCACTCTCATTCTAAGCTTTCCATAGGTAAGCTTAGCAGCCATAGGTAACACAAGGTAACTATTACTTACATTGAGGATGACTTATGTAGTATATTGTACCCTGAAAGATATTGCTGCGTGAGTGTTTATGCCTCCCCAAACAACCTGTGGCCACCATGGCCAGAATAACATAGCTACAAAGCTAGAGGAGAGAGTAGACTGGCCTCAACAGTTCAAGGTTATACTCTTTATGAAAGCCGCTGCCATACTTTTTCCCTGTGGAACAGCTGGGGGGTTTCAATCACTGACTGTTCAGTTAGCAACTGAGTGCTTACTCACTGAAACTAGGGCTCCTTTACCCCCAAACAGCCAAACACATTGCCACCTAGTAGATTCCAAGGCATGGCAACCCTATAAGGCAGAATAGAACTGCCCCTGTGGGTTTCTGAGACTATAAATCTTTACAGGAGTAGAGAACTCCATCTTTCTTCCATGGAGTGGCTGGTGGTTTTGAACTGCTGACCTGTGGTTAGTAGCTGAACTGTTAATCCACTATGCCACCAAAACCAGACTTCGAACCATCAAGTTGATACTGACTCATAGAGACACTATAGCAATCCAAGTACATAATAGTCACCTTCTATAGGCCCAGGGGATTGCAAGTAAAGACAAGCTAGCATTTCATATACTGTATAGGATATAGCACTATAGCACTGTACCTTAAAATGGTAGACCTGCCTCTGTGGGTTTCCGAGATTGTGACTCTTTATGGGGGTAGAAAGCCCTGTCTTTCTCCTTCAGAGTGGCCAATGATTTCGCACTGCTGATCTCGCAGTTAACAGCCCAACTTATAACCACTATGCCACCAGTACTCCTTAAAATCAAGCTTTGACTGATACATAGAATCGCCCTGTTGCCTCCACTCAAGTATTCCCTCAATGCAAGAATACTTTCTTCTATTAAATTAGCATTCTATTATGCTCACCTTCCTGACACAACCACTGCAGACAAAGTGGGTGAATAAGCAAATGCGGTGAAGAAAGCTGATAGTGCCAGGCTATCAAAAGATATAGTCTGGGGTCTTAAAAGCTTGAAGGTAAACAAGCAGTCATCTAGCTTAGAAGCAACAAAGCCCATGGAAAACATATCAGCTGATGTGATCACGAGGTGTCGAACGGATCACTGAAGACAAATGGGTGCATAAGCAAATGTAGCGAAGAAAGCTGATGGTGCCCAGCTATCAAAAAGTATAGCGTCTGGGGTCTTAAAGGCTTGAAGGTAAACAAGCGGCCATCAAGCTCAGAAGCAACAAAGCCCACATAGAAGAAGCACACCAGCCTATGCAATCACAAGGTGTCAAAGGGATCAAGTATCAGGCATCATCAGAACAAAAAATCTTACCATAGTGAATGAAGGGGGAAGTGTGGAGTGGAGACCCAAAGCCCATTAGTAGGCCACTGGAGATCCCCTTGCAGAGGGGTCTCAGGGAGGAAACGAGCCAGTCAGGGGACGATGTAGCAACGATGAAAAATACAACTTTCTTCTAGTTCCTAAATGTTTCCTCCCTGCTCCCACTATCATGACACAAATTCGACCTTGCAAGTCTGGCTAGACCAGAGGATGTACACTGGTACAGATAGGAACTGGAAATACAGGGAATCCAGGGTGGATGACCCCTACAGGACCAGTGAGTGGTGTGAGTGGAGAAACAGGGAGGGTAGAGGGAGAGTGGGTAGGAAAGAGGGAACCGATTACAAGGAACTATATGTGACCTCCTCCCTAGGGGATGGACAACAGAAAAGTGGGTGAAGGGAGACGTCGGACAGGGCAAGAGATGACAAAATAACAATTTATAAATTATCAAGGGCTCATGATGGAGGGGGGATCGGGGAGGGAGGGGGGAAATGAGGACCTAATGCCAGGGGCTTAAGTGGGGAGGAAATGTTTTGAGAATGATGAGGGCAATGAGTTTACAAATGTGCTTTACACAATTGATGTATGTATGGATTGTGATAAGAGTTGTATGAGCCCCTCATAAAATGATTTTTTTTTTTAAAAAGAGCTCTTTTAAGTAAAAAAAAAAATCGCCCTGTCACAAGTGGAATTCTGTAGAGAGGGACCAAAGAAAAATTTGAGAGTAGCCCTCTGTCTTATCTCATTTTACCTTCTGTGTTTTTTTATAAATCATTCTATTAGGGGCTCTTACATCTCATAACATTCCACGCATCAATTGTATCAAGCATATCTGTACATATGTTGCCACCATAATTTAATAAACATTTACTTTCTATTTGAGCCCTTGTTTTCAGCTCTTCTTTTTGCCTTCCCTCCACTGCCCCCCTCATTTCTGTTGTTCATCCCCCTGAGGTGGGGTAGGTAGGAAGGGGTTATTCGTTGATCACTGCATTCAGTTCCCCCTTCCTCCTCACCTCCCCCCTTCTTCTCCCTACCCTCCTGGTATTGCTGTTCCCATTTCTGTTCCTGAGGGGTTTATCTAACCTGTAAGCTCTTATCTGTACCAGTGTACATGCTCTGTTCTAGCCAGAACTGAAAAACAGGACTGGGGTCATGATAGTGAGGGGTGAGGAAGCCTCAAAGAACCAGAGGAATATCGTGTGCTTCATCGGTGCTCTACTGCGCCCTAGTTGACTCATCCCTTTCTTGTGACCCTTCTGTAAAGGGATGTCCATTGTGTACTGGTGGGTTTGGGGTCTCTGTGTCAGCCACCCCTTGTTCTCAACAATAAGCTTTTTGTTGTTTTTGTTTCTTCTGCTGCCTTTTACCTGATTCCATCAACACTTCATGATTGCACAGGCTGGTGTGTTCCTTCCATGTGGTCTTGTTGCTTCTCTGCTAGATGGGCATTTTTTTAATTTCATGCCTTTAAGACCCCAGATACTATATCTTTTGATAGCTGGGCACCATCAGGTTTATTCACCACATTTACTTATGCATCCATTTTGTCTTCAGCAAGCACATAGAGAGGGTGACCATCCCAGAATGCCAGGTTTTTAGAATACAGTGTTCTTGCGTTGAGGGAGGGCTTGAGCAGAGGCCCAAAGTCCATCCACTACCTCAATGCGTTGCCATATAAATATATGTGGATAAATCAATACCTCCATTTTTATGAATTGATATATTTACATGAGTGCACACCTATGTTTATACCTTTAATCGTAGCTTTGCTTCCTAGATCTTTCCTCTGTTTCCTTTTAACTTCCTCCTGCCCCACCATCACACTCACCCTCCTGCCTCTCAGCTGGATTGCTGTTGCTCCAACACCACCGGGATCTCTATCTCCTCCTTGTTGTTGTTTTAATTCCCTAGTCGTTCCCCTGTCTATGGGGGCGTTGCTTGCTCACCACTCTTTTCTTCCCCTCCTCCTCCCCCCAAGTCCCTCCGGACCCTAGGTCCCGATGCTTTCTCCTTGGGCTCACTTCCCATGCCTATCTTACATAAGTAGGCAAACC